ATGATATTATACTATAATTAGGCAATTTATTTGTTGTTTAAATATGTGAAGTATTTAATAATAAACTTAAACTAGGAGTGAATAATTCTAGAAACTAATGATCAGACTAAATCTGTGTCGGCGATTAGCTAGTTCTGTATGTGCAAACCAATGTTAGTCGATAAACTCAAATCAAGACGCTGCACTACTATTTCACGGTAATACTTATTACTCAATTCACCCGATTTCCAAAGAAAAAGGCACCGAATAAACAGTTTTTGTTTAAAAATAGAACTTGCTGGTTATATTAAGTCCGATATTCTCATGATTAGTGCTCGGGCGCTCAGCTAGCGTGGACCATGGAACTACCGGGCTTCATGACATATCAATACGCCTTGCGTAAACGGAAGCCTGCCTGCTTTGATGCAACGTAGTAATTAGAAAGCGCGCGTTTATCTCAGGTTCCGCTTGTGCAAGGGTGGCATGTCAGCTGACTGACGAGGTCTGTGATAGGAAGTTATTAAGATAATTTATATGTAGTTTGCTTTTAACATGTGGTTGTTGATTCTGTCTCAAGTGTATGGATAGATTTTAACTCGTATCGAAACATACCAAGTCAAAGTTTATCATAGGTGTATAAAGTCTTAGATTCATCTAATACGTTTTTATCAGATGCGATTTCTCTGTACTAGGGAATTCCCTCTATAATCCACAAGAAATTTAATGTCCCACCTTCACATCCTAGGACGCTAGGTTTTAGAACGGAACCTTTACACATAACTTCAGGCTAGTCCTACATGGTCGCGGCATTAGAATGTAGAAAAAATCCATTGGTGATTGGCGGGATTTGAACCTGGGACCTCGGGCGTCTAGTTCTACCACTAGACCAGCTCGCTCCACACAAGAAATCTATTAGTACAATGATTACACTACGGAAAATCAATTATTACTAAACTTGTCCAGTAGTATGCAACGTTAATTATTTTACTTTCACGGTTTTGTATTTTAGATATAGTTTTCAGTGACGAACTAGGTTACATCTTTACATTCAAAAAGCAAACATAACCTAAATGACATTTTATATATAACTAAAACATGTAAATATGTATGTTATGATAATTATGGTGGAAAAATCTTGTGTGTATGACGAGCACAAACAGTCATTGCCGCTCTTGAAATGTATGGTGAAGTTATAGCTGATGTACTTTGTACTCTTATACAAATACCAGAACCTCGATGGTTCGATACTTTGTGGACTTAAGGGATGTCGAACTATCGAAATGTTGAACTATGGGGAGTAAATGGAGTTTAATACAGTATACGGGAAAGTAAAAACACAAGTCTTCTATGGAAATAACCCAAATTTATTATACTAAAAAGCTTAACAATTTCACTGTTCATTAATCTCAAGTCAACAATAAATGACTAATTAATGTTCAAGTCAGCTTACATCACAATAGTAACCATAAATATCACTTGACAAAATAGCTCAGCCCGTGTACAAGGAGTGTCGAACTATCGAAGGTTTACTGTAGCTAATACGAGATTGTTTACAAGTGTTGATTTTTAAACCAGGTAGAAAATCGCGAGTCCACTTTCCACAGCGCTATATAAAGATGAGAGCGGTGCCATATACGCTACGCTATACCACGCCGCGCCAAAGCATGGGACCGCGGCGGAATTGGCGGGAAAGTAGCGCGCTCTGATGAATGACCAATTACGACGGTGCCATTTAACGGTTCCAATAGCTTACTTTGGTCGTTCCTTTTGATCGCTTAATCCTCGAAAACCTACAAGGTAAATGCCACCGCGATGATCGTAAAACGGCATAGAACATGCGTCCATCGTTGGGGCTATACAAGGCATACGGGCGTTAAAGGTTTATATATATAAAGGAGAATATATATGCATGATTTACTTTTACACGTAATATTTCCCTATTTCGCATTCGGTTTAGGGTAGCGTAAAATACCTTGTCGCTTGGATCCGTCTACCGCTTTGAACATCTTAGCCAAGAATTTAGTTTTTTTTTTCATGCAAACTTCTAATTATACTACAGCCTATGAATTTGCATGTGATGCAATGTCAGGGAAGACTTCATCGCCGAGCAGCTTGTGAAGTTTTTCAACCGATGGCGTTTTAAGCCGGTTTAAACATACATACGCTACCGGAACACACATTGCACATTGATTGAATGTTTTACTTTTTCGTGTTTTAACTATCTGATGACTAATTTCAAGCTTTATTTTACTACATTTTTGTAGCCCATATGGTACTTTGGTATTATACCGATCACACCGATAAATCTACTTCCAAATTAGACTTAAATTAGTTTAAATAACAAAATCTTCCTAACCTAACTTAAAACAGTCCACCCAGTTAGGTTGGGTCAGGTTATAATTATTAGGTGTGGTTGGTATCATAGCAAAGTGTCGACTATAGTGTGTAGGGCGAAATATTGGATAACATCAACTATGAGTACCTTTAATAAAACTCGTTTTTTAATTATCTCAAATGTAAAACTGTAAAAAAATCAAAATAGAACATTCAGCTTTTTGCACTCAAATAATTTTGGAAATGAACCAAAATAACCCCTTGGCGATGGAAACTCTGCAAGATAATGAGCTCATGTCAGGCAGATAACTGGTCCAAACCACTGGTGGCGTGTAAATTTGGCTATCATTAAAATTGACTGAGGCCACATGGACAGTTTTGACCGGTCCGTGGTCATTTCAGGATGATGACAGGTTGCTGAACATCAGCAGCAGGTTTCTGTCAACAGTAATGTGGTTCATGGTATCCACTGAGTCTTTGGAACCAATTTAATTTCATATACGCGTTATATGCATTTCCCTACTTGCACGAGCCAAAAAGAAAAGTACATTTCCTCGTTTTACATAATTATGTTGAGTAAATTATCGAAATGGCTTTAAAGTAAGATTTTCAAAAACGCTTCAAGATGGCATCCTGACACCAAACCACTAACCGAGACTGCAAATGAAGATAAGGGATCGCTCACGCGTAACCCAATATGGTGGGGGACTTTTGCGACCAAACCATCGTGGTGGTGCATCACTTCTTAGGCTACATTACATGAGTTTATTGTATACTAATAATCGTAATTATCTTTTGATTCATGTAAAAGTTCAAAAACCCGTTTGCTCTGTATCGACACAATATCAGAAAACGAGATGAAGTAGAGAATGTAAATTAATTAGAGTCCGATAAGGAATGTTGCTACTGTGATTTACCTTCTTGGTTGAAAATAATCAACTTGTTGATCCAAAAAGAAACAAAAACTAACCTAGGAAAACTACCTTTGATCGTTAATTTAGTTGAAGTACTTAGTAACGTATTCACGATTTACTTAACACTCAGACAGCCTTAAAAATAAGAGAAGCTTAGGAAACTTTGCATTTATCATCCCACTTCGATACATTCCCATTTCGTTTTCGACCCACCGCGAGGACACTGTGATATTCACCCGCCAAAACGGTCTCGTTCACCCGCCAAAACGCGTCGCTCATGACACAGTTCTCTGCCTGCCTATCGCGTGATGCTGCTCAATTAATAACTGCCTCTCATAACCTCTAGTTACTAGTTACCATCTCTGTACTTTCCCACTTTCGCTGGCACTCATTAGTCTGGCCCGAAAATATCCTAGCAAGATCTGTGGCAAGATATTACTTGCAATTTGGAACACGGGTGTGGTTGTTTTATGCACTGTAATGCGTAAACGTGACTGTTGTTTTCTAACAAGTATTTGTTCCATCGGATGTAAAAAAATGCCATGTAAACACTTAAGGGCCACTTTGTATTTTAAATGATGGAATGAGCTTCAATATCTGGTAGCTGGTGATAAAGATAGCTTTATCAATAGTTCCTGGTGTACTTGGTCCTTCGTCTGAGTTTCGGCTTTGTTCCTCAAGACATTAAAGATGGTGGTATTAAAACCTCGTCTGAGTTTGTTACTTTTACAAAAAAAAATCTGTGTGTAAATTCGTAGCAAACGCATAACCATAATTATTTAAAGAAGCTTAACAATTCCAAATGTTCAGTTCAAAATTTTATTTCTAGGATTGAGCTAGAGTATTGTACAACAAAAGTGACTACAGGGTGGGTTACTGTTAATTCTTTTGTTTAGCTTGTACTGGTCAGTCAGTAGTTCACTTCTTCACCTCGACCTTTGCTCTGTTACAGTTACCTTATATCTCACATGCCACCGCCTCCCATATCTCATTAGCATATCCGACCAGTTACCCTAATGAGTATCTGCTGCAGAAGTCACTGTAGCAAAAAGCAACAACTTGATTTATCGCTTGATTTCACATCTGTTTTCCTGCTTTCCTAAACCCAAAACGTTTTGTGGTAACCGGTGGCCTGTGTTGATTAGTTTTGGGGTATTTGAAGATCAAATAAAATAAAGTTAATTTTTTTTAAAGGAATGTTAAAAAAAATCAATCATTGTGCATAGTGAAACTGTGAATTCCACAAAGTAATATAATTAGAGTAAATATCTAGTGGTACAAAAGAGGTATCGCCTTGTCTACTTTTACAAATTCATTACAGATTCAATGAGATAGTGGAAATCTAGCAAAAATACAATGAAAATTTGATAAATTATTTTCATTTTTTTTTGTAATAGCAATGACAGGTAGGCCTACAGTTTCAGCTTACCAATGATTTCTAATCTGAGGATGATTTATACATGTGAAATCTTTCCTTATTGATAACTGATAAAAAAACTGGATGGAATTTACTAAAAATGTTTAACTCAATGATACTCTTAATTTTTTGATCTGCTATATAACTTATTATCTTTTCCCTTAAAGCTTTGAACTTATACTAAATATTGACACCAACTACAATGTTAATATTCCGAAGCATTTAATTTACGGCATCAGTGGCAATGTGTTGGAAATTTCTTCCAATTTCACCAGTCGTAACAGTAAGGATTGTCGACCGACCTTCTATGCTATGTTTTTTGCATTCATTTCTTAAGCAGTCTGTGCTTGTTGCAGGGAGTCCCGTCATCAGTAGACCAACAGAACGGCAGTGGTCGACCGAGGTTTGTAGCTGTCACTTCTCTAGAGGATGTCCAGGCTGTTCGCTGTGCAGAGTTCCACCCTAGCGGCACCCTCTACGCCGTCGGGTCAAACTCTAAAACCCTCCGGATATGCGCATACCCCAAGCTCTCAGATCTCAGGTACAAATCTTTTTGGTGTCAATTTTAAGTACAGGTTCTAACCATTATCTATACTAATTTTTTCTGTTGATTCAACGTCTTATTTTGGCACTCTGTTAACTCACAAGCTTGTAACGCACCATATAAAAGATTATAAACAAAAAAAATTCAAAACATGTACAGCACGTGATCTGGCAGAGTTAACTGAACTTGCCAGCAAGTTCGGTTTGGGTTTTATTAGTATTATTGTAAAAAACTTAAATAAAAAAAAAATGATATTAAAAAATTAAATTTTAATTATCTATATGACAGCAATTGATGGAAGGTACTACTCCAAACAAAACTTTATCATAAATTTATTTATTCATAAGTGCATGAAATTGCCTTTAAACCAAAAGCTACATTCTATAACACATTATATAAGATGATGATGAGTTTTGACAGTATAAAAACTAAAGAACAGGGCAGTGTCACACCATAAAAGCTATCAGAAATTTTAATGGAGCTCTAGGGTAAAACTAGAATACTTTTAATAACTAAAACTAACTAAACTAAACTGGAACTTTACTAGCTAAAATCATCTTCGTTTTCTTTTATGATTCAACCATTAAACCATTATTTTTCCTATTAATTACAGGTACTGTATAAATCTTGATCTTAATGCAAATAACTCTGCCAAATCCCAGAAAACACCAACAACTGTATTACCATAGACTAAACACAACTAGACTTCTCACCATCCCATTGTTAATTTTTAAGCACGTTTTTCGTGTCTACGTCTACTTAGTGTCCTCTGACACCGATCGCTAGTGTCGACAATATTTTGATTCTATTATTTTAGGGTCCAGTTAATAATTTGTGCTTTACTGTTTGGTTACATAACTAGGGGACGAGTTATTGTTTATGATTAGATCGTTTTATTTGGACAAACAAGGTTTTAAATGACTGAAATGACAAGAAACAAATTGCAAACAAAACCTCTACAGTGCACTGGACAGAACTAACAATAAAATCTTCATCAGATGATCCATAAGGATGAGAAATCTACTAAGGGAGTATGTTTTATCTATGGTATTACTAACACCAAATATTAGCAACTCATTGCCAACTCTTTTATGAACTGTTTTCACTCTAAAAGCATTCAATGGCTCAAAATGAGCTGGTTTCACCTGCTGTGGAACATTTACATTTTATAATGTTACAGTAAAGCGATCAGTATCGATGGAGTGACCACAGCAGAGAAAGTGCGAAAGTGTCGGCTCAGATGATCATCGACACTTTCACTCATCTTGTTCCGTATCATTACACATTCAGATCATCTCGGTTGTCAGTTTCATGTGTTTCGGTCACTCTCTTGAATGTGTAGCACAATGCACCGTGTTTTAGTTTAGATCAACTTCATTTATATGACACCAACATACACGATGCTTAGGTAGAGATGAAAGAGTGTTTAAGAAGGAATGAGTCACGATAGTTTTGTTACCAAAAGATTACCAGGTTCTTTAATCAGAACCATTTATTTAAGCCCAGATCAAGGACAGCTGGGTTCAGTGTTGAGCTGAAGCTTATCACATTGTTCAGAACTGTGCCAACAACCTTCTGATGATTTGATTATTCATTTATTTATTTTACAACAATGCTACAAAACCGCTTACATTGTAGCATTAAGCCTGCAAAATAATGTTGACAAGAGTACCTAATGAAATCAAAATCAAATCAAATCAAAATACAATATAAATATAGCTAGGGAAAAATGTCCTTCTACACTGGTGGTAGTCTTCAAACAATTTCACTCAAATGATAAAAAATATAAGAATGTCAATATAATAATTAAATGGATTACAACCTCTATTTTACTAAATAAAGTAATATTGATGGCTATAAATGAACAATATTGCAAACATAATAAAAAAATTAATTATCACTATATCCACTCAGCTACCCAGCTCAATATATAATTGCAATTTCTGTTTCCGGTTGAGTTTATTGAATTTTTGAGAGAGTACTATTGAGAAGAGCTGAATTGTAATATTATTGATCATAGTGAATGAATTTCAACTTAAACAATCATTTGTCACAGACACAATGTGCCAGTGGACTAATTGATGCTAACTAACAAAATGTGATAGACAAGACCAGGTTTTAGTCGTCCCTAATAAATACATAAAAAATACCAACGGTTTTGATAACCACAAATAAACTATATTGATGTAAAAGATCAGTAGTATGAAGTTCTATGGCACAAACATACCAACTAAAGAATTTTTAAAGAAACATATTATTACAGTGCAACTTTTTCACATTTTCCTCATTCGTTCCACCTGTTCTCTTACACCATTTCCAGCAGACCATAACTTACACTTGTCATACACCACTGTTATCTCAGTCTGGTGTTAAGTACAATTTGTGGTGAGATGAGGAAAGTAGTCCACTAAGTGGTTTGGTGTTGGTGCAATGCTTAATAGACCAGAGCTAATGTGTCTTCTTTCTGTTACCTTCACCTCTCAACTCCACTCACTATTTATTTTGGGGAACAAATTTTATTGTCTTTTAGTGTGTGGCCTTTTAAATTTTTTTTTTTATGAACGGCCTTTAGTAAATTGAGTACAAAAGAGGTAATCATATACAAACCTGATGTAAAATCTAAGAGTATTTTTACAAAAATTTAAATTACAAAAACCTTAGAATGAAATTTTTGACCGTTTCGTTTTATAAAATTGTTTACATCAGTACTTAGTTTACCTTAACATGTTATCCAAATGTAATGTACCAATTTACCTTGTTTGGATCACATGACATGGTGAATTAGGTACTGTTAAATTAGTCATTCGAGTAAACCAGGAGCTCCGACACAGTTAAAAAATTGTTTAATTAGTTAAAACTTTTCTACTTCAGTTGAGTGGTTACAGTATTGCTAGCCTAGTAGCTGCTAAACCGCTATAACTTAGGAAAACTCACATTAAATGAGATGAACACAAACGTCATCTATAACTGACTGATTATATTGCTTGCTTAGTACTCAAAAATGCAACCGGTTCAATATGATTTATGGTCAAAACTGGCCTTTATGTCATTGATAAACGATCCCGTGTAAGGAATGTCAGCTGATTTTAGTCAGTAATAAAGAAAAACAGATCATCTCCCTTCATGTACCATTGACTTGATCATGGTATAGGCTACTGATGTAGACATCCCATCAAGACCAGCAGTAGTGAGTTTTATTTGAGTAGAAGATTATTGAATGAGCTACTCACAGAGTTCAGTGTAGTCAAAAATAGCTTACAATAGTTATTCAAAAGAAATAAGTAATTGACATCAGTGAAATCAGCTCATATTGTTGGTGGTTTAATTCAATTATGTACATGTTCATGCTAAATCTGGCTGTATAGCTCTAACATGGGGAATGATATGATTTGTTAGACTAAATTATATTGTTTGTGTTGCAGGGAGGACCACACCACCTACCAGCCGACTGTGTTGTTCAAGAGGACGAGACACCACAAAGGCTCCATCTACTGCATGGCCTGGACCCCCGTGGGAGACCTGATGGCTACCGGCAGCAACGACAAGACTGTCAAACTGATGAAGTTCAACCCAGAGACTTCAAACTTGGAAGGTTGGTATAACTGTTGGACTTGACCGTCCCTCTGAGTTATGTCATAAAAAGATTCCCTATTTACCTTGGAATATTTTTCAAATTTCTAAATTGTTGCATTTTTTCATTTAGTTTTGATTGCATTCATATTTCAACACGATAATCCGGTGGGCCCTTCCATCCTTTAAACCACACATAATCAAACTTAATATGGATTGCAAGTAGACAGAAATCAAACTCGTATTTGTAAAAAGCACTACACTCGTCAGTTCAAAGCCTTAGCTGACTAAGCCATCAAGTCACCGTCGGTTAGCCGGGCGAGTATCATTATTAGCACACGTCAACACTATTGCTCACAGATTAAACCAATTTAGTGCCAGTGTGTTACCAGCACAGTTTACCTTGCTCAAAAATTCATTATTGATGGACAGGGTTGAATAAAGGCCTCTAATATAGTATCCACATGCACACAATAACCATCAATGTCCCTGATGGTTCCTTCAATGTAATAAACGTTATCAATATTTGTCTTTTCACTTTCTGTCACCTTTCAGCCTATCCTGCTAAAGTTGATTCTATTTTGTAATTAGAAAACATATTTGAACTTTAAAATCACGGTAGGTGTTTGTTTACAACTTGCAAAAACAGCTATAACTTGGGAGAACTCGCATAAACGAGATAAACTCAAGTGTCATCCACAATCACTGACTCTTTTTTGCTCAGGTCAAGAGATAGAGTTGACGATGCACGACGGCACCGTAAGAGACGTGTGTTTCCTAGAGGACACCAGCAACAAGTCTAGTCTACTGATCAGTGGAGGTGCCGGAGACTGTAAGATCTACATCACAGACTGCGCGACTGGTCAGCCGTACCAGGCTCTTAGCGGACACTCTGGTGAGATACTCATTTACCCCAAAGAATTTATATATTTTAATTCTAATAGTATTTGTTTATCGATTACACTAAAATGCTCTTGATAAAGTGGGTTAAAATTCTTAAACTTGCGAAGAAATGTCCGAGGAAAAGATATTAGATGCTAACCACTACCTAGGCTAAATTCTATACCAACATGGTAGCATAATAGAGCTCAGAGTGGAACAGCATGTTTTTCACACAAAAGAGATTTTCGTATACACTGATTTTTAAACATCTTTGACTTATGAAACATTACGTCTTCACATCCCTCTCGCACTTTTTTTATTTTTTATCTACTCCAGTGCCTCATCTACTTATGTCGACTTTTTGTTAGATAGCATCATTAATTCATCATTAGAAAGCCGAGTGACAAATGGCATATGTGTCTTGTAAATTTTAAGACACAAACGTTATCATACTAAAAACAATGGTTTAGTGGTGAAGGTCCTGGGTACAGGGCCTGACGTAAGTGTATACTTCAAACTTCAGTTTTCTTCATACTAGGTGTAAGAGTTGAATGGCTTTGCGCAGACGATAGTCTAGTCACCTAACCTTGTTTGAATCTCATGGTTGTTCAGGCCATGTGTTGACGCTGTACAACTGGGGAGGTGCTATGTTTGTCAGTGGCTCGCAGGATCGCACAGTCAGATTCTGGGATCTCCGGACTCGAGGCTGCGTCAATGTCATCACTCCCGCCACCTCTCCCTCGTCAAGGGTAAGTGATGTGAGTCAAAATCGTTGGTGAAATAAGGTAGTTGGTTTAACACAATCATTCGGTTACAATGTAGGTATCTTTCAAGCACCGTACAACAATTGTATGTTACGGAATCCCAATTGGATGTTATTGGAATGGGTTTTCTTTAAGCTTGCTCTTTCTGCTAGACATATTTAAACATGTAATTCTTATCAGCCTTTAATCAATTAAAGTTGATGAATGCACTCAGTACTTTCAAGTTTTACACCACTACTTGGTCACACACTCCATCAATTATCATGTAATTGCAAGATTCATTTATCATTTATCTACAACAAGTGCACAGATTTTGGTGGGTTTATAACTAATCACACTTATGTTTAGTAAAAAGTGTGAAAACCATTTTAAAATAAGTAAAATCTAAGCAAGTAGAATTCTGCAACTAAGACTTTTGCTAAAAGTATACATCCTATTTCCATATAAAGTTTTATAATTATAGCCAATTTTATAATTTAAATCCTCACATTTCAAACGAGCCACCCACCAACAGAGCTTGCTTATGTAAATTTTTATTTATTTCAAACAATTTACAACCGGCCAAACTGAAATTATAACTTATTGTAAAAGGCAGCATATTTTAGTCACATCAGCTATCATAGTATTAAAAACAAAGGGAGGACATTGAACATTTAGAGTATAGAAGTTAATTCTGTGAGGCTATTGTTCTATTGTTCTATTGTTCCCTGGTTAGGATTGAGGGGCAACCCTCTTTCCGAAGGGTTGCTCCGGCCTACGGAATTGGTCCCGGGTTAAGGGCAACTGGGTACCGGGTAATCGTTGGGGAGTTTCGGCTCCTTCGACAAAGAATAAAAGAATAAAAAAAGGCTATTGTTCTTTTAGAATAAAAATATTGGCTACAGCTGGTCCATGTCTACAGTATACAAAAGTCAATAAAAGACTCACTGTGATGTTATGTTGCAGCAAGGGTCACCCGTTGCAGCTGTTTGTGTTGAACCGAGTGGTCGTCTGCTAGTGTCAGGCCATGAAGACTCCAGCTGTGTTCTGTACGATGTGCGAGGCGGTAGAACACTCCAGTGTTTCAAGCCTCACACATCCGATGTGCGTTCCATACGGTTCTCACCCAGTGCGTACTACTTGTTGACGGCCGGATACGACAACAAGCTGGTCCTCACTGACCTGCAAGGTACGTCTGAATTTATAGTAAAGCGGCAAATTACTCAGGGTGTTGACCAGTCATTGGAGTCATTGAAAAGTTACTGAATTCAGTAAAGGGCCTTACAAGTCAAGTTTTTACCAGAAGGAAGTAAGTCACTAATTTTCTATGTGATCATGAGAGGAACTTAAAAAATCACTGATTTTATTAGGGAGTCATTGAAATCAATGAATAGTCTCTTTCTTTATTTAATAACATTTTAATTCAGAGATTTTTATCTGGGCCACAGAAATTGGATAGATTTGTTGAAAATTATGGAATAACAAATAACAATGAAAAGCTAAGTGTAAATGTTTTAACTTAATCAAAAATGTATATTACAGTGTATTTAAACACCATTATAATTTACCTAGACATTGACTTATAGTTTCCCTATAATAATACATAAACTCAAAAAATTCCGATTGAAAAATAATCACTTATCCAACGAATAGGTATAGAATTCCTCTTAAAGTTATGATGTTTTAAAATAAATAGGTTTCTTAAAGGTGGAACTTTATTAGTGGGAAAACATATTTATTTGGCTGATAACATTTTTTTTCTGCAGGTGATCTGACGACAGCTCTGCCGAGCGTGGTCGTAGCCCAGCACCAAGACAAGGTCATCTCCGGACGCTGGCATCCGACAGAGTTCTCCTTCCTCAGCACCTCGGCAGACAAGACGGCAACACTCTGGGCCTTGCCTCCCGTCTAGACCGATATTTTATCCTATTTTAATATCATTAACAACTTACCAATTTGTTGTAACTGTATATTTACCTCCGTTCTTATAACCAGTTTATGTAGTTAAACAAGTTATTTATCAAAACTTTATACAGTTTGTTGAAAATGTTAATATTGTTAATTTTTTGTTAGGTTGTAATATTCTTTACGGAACTGCTAGCACGTATTGTTCCGTTTGTATAATTGGTTACGAGGTTTTTGTACAGTGACACATGTGATAGGCTTTGGTAGAACACCTCCTAACGATTTGTAACATTTGTGTAATATACCGGTTATTAGGCTTGCTGTATAAACGCTTTCATCAGTCGCGATACAGTTTGTATAAGAGACAGAACTAAACCAAAGTGTTTTTATATAAGTCTGAAATCTGTTTGAGGGAACCAAAAAATTGGTCTATTTTTATAGATTAACTCTGCGTCTGTATTTTCTATACTTGTAAATACTGTTATTTATGTTTGAATTCTTGCAAAACGGGGTATTTTTAAAATTCCTCAAAGACAATGTTATTCTTTTATGATTTGCAATATTTTATAATGTTTAAGAAAGTTTTTTTTGTTATTTTTCTATATTTTATATCATCATTTTCTGGTAATTTTCCTTTTATCCTTGTAAATCTATGATTTCAATAAAAAAGTAGCTTATTTGAACTCCGAGTTTTGGTTTTTTTTTATTGGATAAGCAGACACAATCACCCATTTTGTAACCTGACAATTTAGTATTATTGTTGAGAGTTAACATTGAGTAGGCTATGTAACTTTAACAGATTTATTTCACGTAATGCAAACAAAAATACAAAAGATTAACCTATAAAAACAGTAACAGCATCCTTAAGATCAACTATTAGCAAAATCCTTAATGTTTAAAGTTGAAACTAAAAAGACCTTCCATGACTAGAGCAATAGAAGTTTTTTACTCACGTAGATATATTACCATAAAGATGTAAATCTCTATTTGTATCTTCGGTATAGATGGACTTAGGCGGGGTCTTTTATCATAATAGTTGATCCGTCTAACTAAACCATCTATTTACAATATTTCAAGAACGTAACTTCCCGCACAAAGCAGCTCCGTTACCAAAGATTAAGGTAAATTCTTGGTAGGATTTGGGACCACTCTAAAGTCAATATTCAATGTTTTTATTTACTTGTATTGGTTGAATAATTGAGTGAAATCATTGAAATTTTGAAAATATTATATAATTAACATCTATACTTTTGAAGGTATAGGATCTGTTTATTGTTTGTAACCTAGTTAACTAGTTAACTTGTATACTTTGAGTCAAAAGAGTTTTCATCGACAGGTTGTTGTGTATTTTAACTTTTTCTGGTAGTTTAGTTTGAGGTTATGATTATCAAAACAATGACAGGTTGTGTAACTTTCTAAATAGCTTTGTAAGGCTGACGTGATGTAGAATAGGTTTCGCCTTTTGATACGCAATATATAAATGCAATGTTGGAATTGGTTTTAGTTCTGTATTGCAGTGGTTCACAGTTTTGCAAAATGTGCATTGTTTTATATCTAATGAAATATGTAGGCATAGTATATTGTTGTTAACTGAATAACTTTATCGGTGTCATAAATTGTTTGAATTGTAACAATTCCTTAACCCTTAAGTAACAAGTAGTCTAGCGAGTATTAGATTAACTTCATTTTCTTGTTTCATTATTCTTTTAATCATGCAAATGTGAGTTTTGGTTAGTGAATACATAGATTTTTCCAATTAAAATGTTTTATTGTCTAACATCATTTAACCTTTGTTAAAAGTTATTCTGTGCGTTAATTAATATTTATATAAATGTTTAAGCTAACTATTGATATTTGTTGTGACATTTATTTTGGACTTAGGTTATAAATCAGATGAAATTCCAAACAATTAGAATTTGCTTAATACTCGCCTATGTTTCATAGAATATTACTCATTGCTTTAGGATGTAATTGATATTAAATTAAGTTTCAAATCTACTTTTTTCCCAGAATCACCGCCAATGATATTGTCCTTAGTTATAATCTTTGACATATTTAATGCTTTAATTTCCAACATTTCACGTACCTGAGGGCGTTTTTAGGAGCTCTGTGTGCTTTGCTACAAAATCAATTTATAAACTAAACTATTTTTATGCACATTGTTGTAAACCTTTTTTTATTACTATAATCTCAAATCTTGCTTATACTCAATGTTTATTGTTTTGTATTAGCATATTGATATTAATGTTAAATGATTAAATATAATACATAATTGTGTGTTTGATTATCCTGATCTTGCTTAACTAAAATATTATGGTATAATTTTTAGAATGTATTGATCAATCAAACTAAATCTAACTAAAATTTTAATGTTGAAAAATATTTATTTTTGGTGCAAAAAGACTGGTATGGTTAGTTTCTGCAGAGCCCTGGAAAAGAGCGCAAAAGTAACCTCAACAGCGTTACTGTAAAAAAATTACACACCAGGCTATCCAAAGAATCAGAATGGAATCATGTGCTTTCCATCGGTAAAATCAATCACCAATCTTACTAATATTATAAATGTGAAAGTTTGTGTGTTTGTTTGTTTGTTTGTTTGTGTATTTAAAGGTCAATCACGCATAAACCACTGGATGGATTGGGCTGAAATTTGGCATGATGATAGCTCACATTCCCGATTCACATATAGGCATATTCTTATCTCAAAAATCCCTTCAGGCTCCGCCCCAGTGGTTCTGTAGTTCCCCATGTTAACCTTATGAGTATTCATATTTAAAGGGAATTAAAAAATTTTGTCAGCTGTTTCAACTAAAAAGGTTGGTTCTATGATATACAAAAGCATTAAAAAGTTATAAAATTTACCAACAGGGTGAAGCACTATATTTTTTTTGCATTTATGTAAACAGTTAATTTGAACTGAGCAGCAACAAACAACTGTGATACACAATGAGAACTGTCAAAGTAGGATTGTTTACAGTTATGATTATGTTTTTAATGTCATGAATAATTTGTGATTTTTTAAATTTGTAATACTTTATTTTTCATTATTGTATAGGTGAAGAGGTAGAACATTATGGCTATGGTAGATGTGTAATACCATAGTATACCGTCAATTTAAAGAAGCAAATTTTATCAAACTTTGTCCTCCCCCATTGCAAACGCAAAGCTTGAGTATAACTGCAATAAGCAATTTAAACTTGTATGCCAACCCCGTACGAAGGACGGGTACTCTGCTAGTAGCAAATACATCCATACTCCATCCTCCAATGACAAAAAGTAAAAAAAATAAAGCACACATATCTGTCGCCTGTCCTGGGAAGGGTTTAAAAAATATAATTTATGTAACAAATAACAAATACAGACCTAAAATTCAGAATAGCAAGTTTCAAACTAAAATAACAGAAAAGAGGCAAAATACCTATATCAAAAAAATTATTTTAAGATAATTTAATCATCAATGTAATGAATGAAACTGGTTGACCTTAAACAAAGCCAATTCTCAGAAACATGGTAAAAGGAGTCATAAGATTGATAATAAGACCATGAACCCCTATAAAACATAAATTTCCTTTAGAAAAAAAAATAAATAATGCAATTGGTGTTAAAGCACATAAAACAAAAATGTCATTGTTGAAACCATGCAGTGTGTGTGATCCTTTTTTGATAATAACCATTTCATACATAACGATTTTTTAATAGTAAATTATAAGGAGAAATATATTGTCTTGGTATTCAAACTTTAATACCTGTAGTTTTCCCTGAAGAAGTTGAGTATATCAACGAATGGGAACCAACCCGAAACATGTTATTCCTAGAAAATTACTAAGTAAAGTAGGCACTAGAAGTACCTACCATGGGCTAAATATGTTTTCCATAACCTCCACCCTCTCATTCCCTTCTTCAAATAAATGTGTTAGTTTTTATTGTTTTTTTTTTATCATGAATTTCTATGATTATGTAATAACTAGCAGAGAACCCGTCCTTCGTACGGGGTTGGCATACAAGTTTAAATTGCTTATTGCAGTTATACTCCAACTTGGCGTTCGCAATGGGGGAGGATACAGTTTGATAAAATTTACTTTTAAATTTACGGTATCTATTATAGCCATAATGTTCTACCACTTCACCTAAACAATATAGAAAAATAAACTATTAATAATTCACAAAATGTCACAATTTTTTGGGGTAGCGGATTTTTATCCCCCTGGAATTTTACCCCCTGGGCAAACGTGACGTCACAAACCAGGGGGTAAAATTCCGGCCGCGAACATTTGAGTTTCGCGACATCAGCTCGATGGATTAAACGCGGAATTAAACATATATTTTCACGGTTGTGAGTTTAATCAGAACACATCAAATTAAAAAACCTAGAATGTACGGCCCGGAATTTTACCCCCCGGAATTTTACCCCCGGAATTTTACCCCCCGGAATTTTACCCCCGGAATTTTACCCCCGGAATTTTACCCCCCGGAATTTTACCCCCTGGCCAGATATAAATTAGTGTGAATGATTAATTATCGTCATTCAGTTTTAATTTAATGGTAAACATTTTATTATTAAGAAGCCTATCTTAATTTATATGTAACATTAACTAATTGCACAGGGTTTTAATATTAATTTTGAGATTCGAGTGTCATTGAAGCCAACTGTTGGTTAATATGATCAAAATAAAACAGCGAATTCTGTTTACTCAGTTGAGATTACAAAATAAATAAATAAAGATAAGCTACTAAATAATGAAATGTTTACAATTAATTAAAAACAGAAGTTAAGAAAATCAATCATTCAATTTCTAAAATCAGCCAGGGGGTAAAATTCCGGGGGGTAAAATTCCGGGGGGTAAAATTCCGGGGGTAAAATTCCGGGGGGTAAAATTCCGGCCCGTACATCTTCAGTTGCCTAAACGCTAGTTATATGGACAGGGGGTAAAATTCCGGTTTTTGTCGCTAATCTAATTAATCACGCTCTGACTATTTTCATTAGACTTCCAAATCCGCGGGGGTAAAATTCCGGCCGCGAACAAACTTTTGGCCACTCAGGTTACTACGTCATAGTGACGTCAGCTTTGCCTAGGGGGTAAAATTCCAGGGGGATAAAATTCCGGCGACCCAATTTTTTCATGCAATTAAAAACATATTAAACATAACTGTAAACAATCCTACTTTGCCAGTTCTCTTGCCTATCACAGTTTTTTGTTGCTGCTTAGTTCAAATTAGGTGTTTTCATAAATGCAAAAAAAATAATAGTGCTGCACCCTGTTGGTAAATCTTATAACTTTTTAATACTTTTGCATATCATAGAACCAACTTTTTTAGTTGAAACAGCTGACTAAATTCTTTAATTCCCTTTAAATAAATACTCATAAGTCTAACATGGGAAACTACAGAGCCACTGGGGCGAAGCCCGAAAGAATTTTTGAGATAAGAATATGCCTATATGTTAATCGGGAATATGAGCTATCATCATGCCAAATTTCAGCCCAATCCGTCCAGTAGTTAAAGTGTGATTGGCCTTCAAACAAACAAACACACAAACTTTCACATTTATAATATTAGTAAGATTTTTCCTAGAGGTAACACATGTGGTCTTTCAAATAATAACATCCGAACCATCATACAAAGGGAGAATACAACAAACAATCGAGTAAGCTTCCAAACATGAATAAAAATAAATCTCAAACACTTTTTAATATCAAAAATAAACATCAAACACTTTTTGATAGTGTAACCTGATTTTTATACCATGCATCAAATGAGTACCACAACACTTTCGCTTTATAAATCAAGTTTGTCAAATCTCTAGCAGCTTTATTCGGCCAGTCGAACTCTCTTGTTAGTTTATTAAATAGGTCTCCATTGTTATCTTCATTGAAGAACTGTGGTAATCCTTTCTTCCAGTACTGTTTGGCGGTTACTATTCCCACTCGATCCTTCCTTTGGATACTGTTGAGTAGATCACCGAGTACTGTCAAATACTCCTCAACGTTGTCCTTCAAATCCTCAGCATCCTCCTCTAATGGATTCTCTAGTTGGCGAGTGATGATGATGTCAACGTTGTAAAGGTAATTTGCAGCGGTATGCTCCTCTTCGCTTTGGACAAGCTGTACCAATAAGTAAATACATGTCAACCAAAGGCAACTAAGCATTTAAAAGTAAACACAAGAATGCTATGTTTGATTTTATTTCATCTCACATCTGATTTGATTAGATCTTATCAACTCATCAGTCATCACCATCCTAAAAGATGTGTAATGTTTATTTAGATTGCTGAAATATTATTGTAATTAATTACCGTATCATTCCCTATTAATAGTTTTCATTACTAGAAAGTGACTTATTGCGGGGACGGATTGCATTTACAAGGGGGGCAAAGCCGACTAGGGAAATAGCTATTGAGCCCCGCAATGGCACTTTTGAGAAGAGTATTGAACATTATTTTTCATTACGATATCAAAGTACTTAAAAACAACATTAATATTTTTGTTTATTCAACTTAGTATAAAGAAAAAACTGAACTCATAACGCTGAGTTTCCATGCTTATGTCGAGGTATACAAAACAATGCAACAGCAAATAATGCAACAGCTGATTGGTCTGCACCAAAATCCCATGATGGTTACTTTCCGTGTACCACAAATGCACAGAAAGTTAACGTTATGTAATTTTACCGTGTAGTGGCAGGATTAACTTATTTTCTAAGCTCATTTTGTAACGTTTAAAAAGTGTACTTTCGTGTGTGTAGAGTAATGAAAAGGTATTTGTTATTATAAAATGTAGGCCCACACATACTTGGCAAACTTAATAAAATTGAACAAAATAAGATCAATCAGTCAGCTTTCAACTTTTTCTAAGCTAGATGTGTTATAGTGAAGTATTTCAATCAAATAAACCTTTATTCTCAATGACAGTTTGGGTTTAAGCAAGGAAAATCTACAGAAGATGCTCTGTTGAATTTTACAAATTTAATATATATACACACACACACACAATTTTTAACGATGGTATCTTACTATACTATTTAATAGTTTCTGGTAAGATCAATAAATGACTTTGAATATATAGGCAATAGTTTTCTCATCTTGCTTTAGTTCAGAAATAATTTCCTAAACCAATGTTTGTTTTTCTGGACTTAATTTCTCGTTTAGTTTGGAACCAACTAATTGAATATTCAATAATTCAAAACCCGCTCTTAAAGGCGTTTCACCCCTGATGCGCCACCAAATGCAAGGGTTTGCAAGATATCTGTTTTCACCTGCTATATTGAAGGTAGAATCAAAGTTAAGGTAACATATTTAAGAGAATGAAATTTTCTATAGTTGTGTGTTTCATTATTTCAATCATTTTTAATACACGCCTTATAAACTTGAGTTGTAGGACAAGAAAAAAGGTATTTTCAAACTAACTATAAAAAAAAAACGTTACCTATTTGAAAAACAAAGACTGGTCTTTGTACTACTATAATCCGTTTCAATTCAAAAACAGAAATTTTGGACACCTCTTCTCCAAAGTCCAAGTCTATATACGTCAATCCTAAAATTAGTCTATGTTGATGTAAGGTATGTTAACCTATTTATATTGTCAATAATTAATCCTGGAGGCAATGATGAATAAATTGTTGTTTAGTTCAATAAACCAAAATACAAGGATAAAAAGATAATGTGGGAATAATCGGCAGTAGTAGAAGAAAAATCTTTAATAACTACAATAAAACATTTTAAATACTATGTTGCAGCGTGTGTCGAGATAAACTATTTCATGCGCAATCAAGTGGCCTAGTCTAAAACCATCTACAATGATAAAATTATAGAAAATAAATATAAGCAATCATCAATTTGAAATTTTTTAGGCATTTAATATTATAATTAAGAAAAAATATTTATATTACGATTGCTACAATAAATAACTACTTTTGGTTGGATGGTCTTGTTTGAAGTATTAATAGTATTCCCTGTAATGAAAATTCACTTTCACACCGGTCCGAAAATATTTGATAGAGTTTGCTGTGCCGAGAGAGCACAGAATTGTATGCCGTTGTGGTGATGACTGATGATAAGCCAATCGTCGAACTCAGTTGAGAGAAGCGACTTTCGGCTTTTCAAATAATGTAATCAAGTGATGTATTACTTTACATCACGAGCGCTATGTTCGCAAAACACCAACTCCTTACCTACCGCAGCTAGAACAGAATATTAGTACAGAACTCAAGACACAAACTCTAGCGAGAACTAAGCTAAATGTTTGTAATATGTTTAAGTTTCTAGCAAATATATATATTTAAAAACTAATCGGCTGAATGAAGAGATTATTTGAATTGATTTTGACTATAGATAGCAAGGAAAGTTTAGATTTTAATGTATTTAATAATTTATTAAAAAGACATCCAGTGTCCAGAAAAGTGGTCGTGACATGCAGTGCTATCTACCGGTGACCCAGTGAACTTCGTACTGCTTTACCGACAACATACGATTGTTCACACGGTTCACACGATCCGACGAATCATAATTAAATGTACTATGTAAGCATTATTTGGTGTTACATTGACGGTCTTTATATTCAGATGTTTGATAGCTAAACCATAGACAAATATAAATAAATATAGATCGACATCTCAGTGCTGCGGTTAGCATAAGTTCCGGCATTCTCCACTAGGAGTGCGGTTAGCATAAGTTCCGGCATTCACCACTAGGAGTGCCGTAACCATTTTTTAAATCAATATCACTCAAAGTTTTGCCATTGGAAGAGAGAATAATTTGGAAAGGGGAGTTTGTTGTTGTTCAAACACTCGTTTCCTACCGTTTTATCACTAAAAATGTATACACTTTCCAACGATGTTGATACATTAATATGTTCAGCACAAAATACAAAGATCGAGTCGAGGGGGGAGCATCAGCTGCATTGTTTTCTGGCATAACTTATAACTTATACTGTTTGTGTAATTTTTTGCTTTTAGCTTATTATAAAAATTTATTTTACTAGCCTAACTTCTTTTAACGCGCTCATTTATGCGTACCCCTTTAATGCTTATATATTTATACATATACATTTATGCATATACCCCTTGCAGCTCTCGATTGTTTTAAGTTCTCGACTTTGTCTCGAACTTTAAAAAATATCTCGAGCCGGCAACACCTCATTTTCGGCCCTAGGTACGAAATATACTATTAATTTAACGAATATATGGTTTACTTTCAGCAAAATATCACTGAAATGTTTACGCTTAAAGTTGTTTACAAAATGATGACCGTTATTTTATGACTAGGTGTACAATGGTACAATCACGACGCTTGCAATATTGAGCGGAGCTAGTATATTAATCCAATACTTCTTTAAAGTCAATGGTATTGATAAGTATTGATCTGTTCCTCGTGAATGAGATTAAATACTTGCAGTATCCTATGTCAATGGTATATTTGGTTCACGTAAATGGAATGACTATTTGCAATATTCAAAGTCAATTAATCCTGGTTCACATAAATGAATTGTCTACTTGCACCATTGGCTATACCATAACGGTTATGGTATATACTCAATCATATTAGGATATCTCGCCGCAGCCAGTGGCAACTGGCAACACTGTTCAGTTTGTCGTCTGTGTTGTGTTCGTGTTGTCGTTGTCAAATGTCAACTTGGCTGGCTGTGTTGAGGTTATTGGTTTAAAGTGTCAAACTTTGACACATATTTGACATATTCAATATGAAAGTATAAATTGTCCTTTTCTTTTAGTTAGACAAACTTTATAGCATTCAACCAAATACCTAAGACTTTATGACTGAGTGACTGTAGTTATGGCAGACCATACTCCTGAAAGTGATTTAGGGAGCATAGAATGTTTTCAAAACTACACTGCTCCCGAGGTATTCGTCCAAGGCCTTGCAGGAATTGTTGATCAGCAAGATGTTGAGGCCATGATTAGGGCTCAAAAACAAATGTAAGTACCGCTGTACTTTATTTGACCAGAAACTATGCAACAATTTGCTTGATCTAGGAAATAATATTTAGGCTGATAGGCTCCCTCTTAACTTATAGGTTAGGTCTAGATCCACGGATATTAGAACAGACACAAGTAGTATGGATCATGGTATGGTGTTCCGAAAGTAAACATATTTGTACTAATATTTAAGGCAGAGGACACTCGTCCGGTAACTGGACATGGATTAGACGTCCGGCAATTACTGTCATAACCTAACCAACCAAACTTGCTGATAGGGATAAAATCGAATGAAGGTTAAATTCAATCCATAAAAAAAAAATATAAATGCCAAAAATTCTAACAAAAGATGTATCTAGGCTACAATTATGAAGAAATGGTATTCAAAGCAAAATCTTTGACAAAAAGTTAAAGTCACCAATGGTTCTCGAACTCTGGACCTCTTGCATATCAGCCGAGCACCTTATCCACTACACCACGAACACCAATGGCTGTTCATCGTATTGTTGTGGTAATGGCGTTCCAGGCTCCCGCAACCCGGTGATGTCATTGCCGGACGCCTTATCCACGTCCGGTTACCGGTATCCTCTATGAATATTTAAATGGAAATGTCAATAAACACCCAAATTAGCTGTTAAGGTTATTAGAATATAATATCCGGATTGTTTATGTTTATGATCCATACCGTTTTTGTTTTAATATGCTGTGTCTGTATCCATTCCGCAGATAAACTTATGTGTAACATAATCTTAAACAATCCTACAGATGCCTGCACGCCAAGTTGGAAAGTGGTGGCTATAAAAAAACACAGGCAATTTATTAATTGAGCCTACATGCTTACATTGTTGAAACAAATGGCGAACTTTGATATCCAACTCTATTGTATAATATAAAAAATACAAGTAGGCCTACCTACTGACATAAATGATTCAACCCAAACTTCCCTATCGATTGTAACTATCGATGACTTCAATGCAGTCAGTTATAAGTATAGTTCTACCAAACAAACGAAGGGTGTGCCCATTCACAATCAACATATAAGACAAGTTGGCAGGTATGAAATTTGTATGACTGGATGTTCATTGGTGCGCCAAAAATGAATTAATTCACTTTAAAAGTCATCTCATGTTCGCCATGCTAAATTTTAAATTCTGTTTGACTCAGTAATGATTTTTGATCAGTATAAGTAGGGCTGGTAATTCAGGGCTGGGTTGGTTGTTTGCCTATTGAAGGGCTCCGAATTATCAACTAAAATCCACCAAGGGCTTTATTCACATAATTTTTGTTCAGCTTATTTACGCCATAGTCGTTTTTAAGTTTTCAAGAGAAACATTACCTTGTTTGGCATCATGAATTGCACTTAACCACTCGGCTGACTTCCTATTGAGATCCCAACTGTTAACTTAGCTTAGTTTTGGGACTAAATTGGTATCCCACACTCTGCTCTTCAAATTCTAAGTAGAGTGATTTAAGTTACTTTCACTTTTTTAAATAAAGCCTTGTGTTGCATCGTTTGGGTTCGAAGTTGCCTCTAAATTTCATCCAAAGTGTGTGCTGTACGTTGTACTGTGGACTACTTCCACACTTTTCTGCTAAATAGTTTATATGTTTCTTCCAGGCTTCAGAGATTTGAGAAAACAAATGAAATGCTCTCAAACTGCAACGCTTTGTCGATGAATCGCTTCAAGGTTGCAAGCACAGAGCTCAAAAAACACACTCAGTTGTTAGTCGAGATGAGGAAAGACTTGGATACTGTTTTTAAACACATTCGAATTATCAAGGGGAAACTAAGCTCCCAGTACCCACAAGCTTTCACTGGTAAGCATAGTTATTTTAATATTAATTATCAATTCAAAAAATCAAATTAAATCTTAAGCAATAAGAAATGATAGTTTATGTCTTATTATTTGTTCTGGGTAAACGGTTTAAAAACTGAACCAACTACCCTATAGTTTACACAATGGTAAATCATAAACCAATCCAACAAATCACATTTTCTTACCCCGAAAATTATTTTTTTAATAAAAAGGTTAAATACCTATGTAGTACTGTCAGTGATCCTGGAATTTAAGTGGCTGACCTAAATTCCAGGATCACTGACAGTACTACAGGTATTTAACCTTTTTATTAGTAAATTACGTGATCCAGAGGCTAAACATGTTAAAATTATTTGTTTATCTATGATAGTAGTTTGTGTACATTTCACCAGCATGAGTGGTATCTTGCGAGTTTCTTATACTCATTTTTTACATCACTGTGACTTATGACTATAATCTTGTGCTTTTTATAATTACGCTGAGTTGCCATGGTCGGGCCAAACACATGACTGCAGATACACTAGGCTATTACTACTAAATAGGTAGTGTTACAAATTAAAACCAAAGAGACATTTTATCTATGTACACCCACTCAATTGCAATTGGTTTTTTTGTTCATCACTTTAGCCCCCAAAAAAACCAATTCTGTAGATGACGAAGAAGATGCAGCCAACAAGTCAAACTCCAATAAGCCTAAAATATCTCGCTCCGCAGAAACAGTCGCTACAGTGCAGGAAAACTTTTCTGAGAAGAACGACAACACAGTTACTCCTGTGCAAGAATCTGCTAAATGTAAGTAGGCCTAGTCTGTAATGTCAAAGACCGAAAGACCTATAAGTAGATTGAACCAGAGGGAACCAGTGTAGAATCATAACCGATCAATCAACTCAATGTCGATATTGCATTGTATGTTAAAAGACAGTAAAAAGATTTTGATTTACACTGATGTGAAGTATAAATTGTAATGTAGTTATGTATAATTAAACGTAGTTTGCATACTTAAAATCGTCTACTGGCAAATAAGTAGATACAAAAAGCATAAATTGCATCTTATTGTAACCTTGCCGAAATCTAAATAAGGAAAATAATTAAACGATTAAACATGCTGCTGAAAAAGAAAAACCTAAAAAGTATTTCCTTGCTCAGCTGTGATTTAACTTAGTTGATATTTTAAGCATGCTTTGCAAGGAAAAATGGGGACACAGTTTGTTTATACATTTAGTTTACGGTTGTGTGCACTTGGTTTTTACTAGCATTTTCCTCTTCCAGGAACTGATGAGAACCTTTTCTGCGAAAGAGTGGGGGATTGTGGGAGAGCCTCTCACGTCGATTTAAGAAAATCTTTAAATTTATTTTGTAATTTTTTAGATATAAAATTAACTTTTTAATTATAACATTTATTTTTTTATTATAAAATTAAACTGTCATAACTTAACCGAACCAACCAAACTTGCTGATAATATAAAAAATATATAAGATAAAAGCGAATGAATGTTTACTAATTTAAAAAAATTGTTCTGTTCATAAATAAAATTATAAATGCATCAAATTCTAACAAAAGATGTATAGTTAAAGAAGTATTCACATTCTAAGCAAAATCTTGGACAAAAAGTTAGTGTGGCCGGCGGGATTCAAACTGGAGACCTCCAGATCACAAGTCCGATAAACTACGCCACGAACACCAATGGAACACTGATGGAATCATATCGTCTCTTTACAGTAATGGTCTTCCCTCAAGAGAAGAATGACGTCATGCCCCCACTGCTTACTAAAAGAGGTTCTCATTAGTTCCTGGGAGAGGAAAACGAGGCGCTATACTTTTGTTTTGCCAGTTGCATTTATATTACAACACCTGTTTTTACAAAAGGTAAACTTACTTTTTGACGCCATGTGTTCTCTATAAACCTGTGATAAGACTTGTAATTAGAATTTAATTATGATTTTTATCTAGTGGAAGAGGAGGAGGAAGAAGAACACACATCAGAAACTCGTCGTAAGACATTGAAGAGGTCTAACAGTTCATCAAGCGACAGCAATGACGGAAACAGTAACAATGATTCCTCTCCCTACACTTCAGATACTGGATAAATGATGAAACCCATTGAAATTGTATTTATTTTTATTGATTATAGGAGTAAAAAGTTTGAATTTAAAACAATTAACCAACACATTAGACTACACTGGCCTATTACCTAGAAGGATGAATCACTTGAATCACATGAATGTGATAACTTATCACCTATTACTTTAACGACAACAATATAATAAGTATCCGAGTTGGTTTATGAGTTTTAATACATCCAAACAATAAGCTGATTTAGCAGACTGATACTGTAATTATTTTAATACCCTACTTTGGATGTACTTTTTATTATACTGAGCAAACATTTGATTAATTCTCCAACACAATCTCTGAGGTAGAAAAAGTTAATCCAATTCATCTATTTACCTTATACTAAGATTCTGGAATTATATAGGCTACAAGATTCCAGTAGACATATTTTTAATGGATTGAATGGAAGAGTCGACATTTTTCTTAGAGCAATTTTGTTAAATTTAAAAGTATGTTACAGAGTGTACACTGAAGTCTACAAAAAGTCAAAAGGCCTAAGACTAATATTACAGAGTTATCTCAATTTAAAAAGTTAATATAATTATCAATTTGGAGAGTTATCGAGATCAATCTGATAGTTATGTGGTAATATTATCAATATGAGTTGTCTTTGATTGTTTAATTGTTTTCTTAGCAGCTTCTCAGAATCTCTCATTTAAAATAAAACTATCCCCTCAAATCGCTACTTATGTAATCCAGCGTTGTTTTTGTTATAATTTTATATTTTTAAGCTTGCATTTCTATATTATATTGTAACCATGATCTCAACGTGATTTTACTTGTATGTTTATGAATATTTATGTTACCTTTGTTAGTTGTTATGGATGGATATTTTGTAATTAATATTATAGTTTTAAATAGAGACATTATAACAATTTAAAATTAATATGTTGTGTTATTTATTTTTTTAGTTTCCCTGTGAATTATTGTATCCAACAGTATATTAAATATTGTTAAGGAGCTGGAGGTAGTAAGAATCTTTATTGAGATTGTGGAATGCTACTGCTACTACCACAAATTAGTTATTTTTCCACTTTTTATTCACCCATACAGTAAGGGGTTAATAAGTATGAGATTACATGCTATATATAAGTCTTACTTTGAATTTTCTAAATCCTTTATTGTTTTATTATAGCAATAGCATCAACCTTAACTTTGCACACCTTTTAAGCTAAACATCCTATTAAACCATGGACAGACAAAGTCTTTCAATGCTTACAAAATTATCTAAACGCGTAGGGGGGGAACAATAAATGTGCATTAGATAAATTCAAAAAAATTAATGATTCTCCTTTTCACCTAGCCGATATGAACTTAATGACTACCAGATTGGTAGTCAAATTGAATCTGCACATATAGCCAAGCTATACAGATTTTTTGATTCCCAAGTGATTGTTATGACATGGAAAATTCACTTTGTTACTCCTCAAGGAGTATGTTTTATAAACTAAAAATACATATTTTCAGTTTCAGGTTACATATCATTTATTTTTTATGAGACTATGCCAATAGTCTCATGGTAAGACCTGGACCCTGGGATGGGATCGATTTACTTTTTTGTTGATGTCTCCAGAGGTCAAAAACACCATCTGTTCTAATTCATATATATAATTTATTGTGTGTTTGTCTAATGTCTGTTAGCTTATTGAGCAAAAATCATCCCATTTTGATGAAATTTTGTACAAACTTGTGGACGTAATTTTCAAACGAGTTCCCGGACCTGCATGATTGTGCGTGGGTGGGGGGTTTAAGAGGTAAAACTTGGGTTTTCTAATTTTTTACTCTCAAAACATAAAATGTCCAAACTCTCTCTAAATAGTTTTTAAGAGCTTAATAGCAAATCATTTAGTATTTTTATGTGTTTTTGTATGGTAATTGGATACGGATAAAATTCAAAAAATTTTAAAGGCAATATAAAACTCTTATGTTATTTTTTATGGAGAATAAGTAAACTGTTATTTGTTTATGAATATATTTTGATCAAACTTAGAAACTTTAATTATTTTATACTAATGTATTAATATTTTACTTAAAAACACACACACACTTTTCTACCCTCCCTGTAGGAGTCACTGAGCTAAAATTATAACTGGAGGTAGCACTGCCATGGCAGAAGTCTGTCAATAGCGAGTCGCTGATTTTGTTAGGTTGGTATAGCAGTAAGTTTTCTTACCATAGCAATAACATGGCTTCTTATAACTAGGTTGGTATAGCAGTGAGTATTTTTGTCATACTTGAATACTTTTAATACTTTAATAATTTTCTTTGAAATGGCGACCATACAAAGTAGGTATTTTAAGCCAAGTATAATAATAGTTATAGCAATAATATGGCTTCTTATGACACCAGACTCACGCAAACATGGCGGCTGGCGACACGCATCTTTGACATTCAGTGCTACCTCCAGTTAGAATTATAGCTCAGTGGTAGGAGTAGTAGGAAAACTAGGTACTCGTTAAACTTAAACATAATGTTATTTTAATAGGTTTATGTGAAAATTAAATCAGGAAAATGGAAATTCACTTATTCTATAGGTCTGCTGCGGTGGGTATTATATTATAACTCAGTGTAGTCTGAATGTCTTGTGTAGTCTAATTGTAATTCCATTTCTTAGGTTAATAACTAGAGTCGCATAATAACTCTCAGCTTCATGGTAAAAATGTTGGGCTACCTTTTAGGGATTATACTATCATACCAATGTCTTAGTTCTTCTTCCTCTCAGTATAAACTGACTTTCTTTCACAACTGAAACTTCATCTAATACATTGGAATTTAGGTTATGTTATTGTTACATTTACAATTTCATTAGCAATTTATTAATTGTTATCGCTTTAGGAAAAAGATATTTAAGATTTAGTATTTAGGATATTTTACACTTCTTATCACAATGCCGAAAGTCGTTTCCAGAAGTATAGTTTGCTCAGACACTAAAGATCAAGAGGAGTATAGTGAAGAAAAGCCACTTCATATCTATTACTGCATTTGTGGACAAATGACATTGATTTTAGGTAAGCCTCTGTTTAGTTTATCTTTTTAAATTTCTTGCAATAAATCTATTACGCTTGTGCTTGTCAAGCAAGTTTATAGGCCTAGCTAAATTTGTGACTAGGCCTAACTTAGTCTAATTTTTCCTCTGCACTAAATCCTAACAGATTTGTATTTTCTACCCAAGGTATAAGTTATTAGGCAAAAAGATAAGTTACCACACTCGGGTGGACTGTCACTAGCAGGACTCCATTTGGAGTCCACTCTATTGTGGGGCCTATTTCAAACCAAATACAGTAAATAAGTTACAGTACTATATCAAACAAATAACTACATAATTGGAAAGAACATACTTTAATTGAATTACTTAACTGCCCAAATTTGACATGAATACGACCAGAGTCCTTTGAGTTCCGCCTCCCAGAAGGCAGCGAAAGTATGACTCATCTGGTATCATCATTCTATTCACAACGAAACCAGGAAAGTCCTACAAACATATTTGATAGCCCAACCTAACATAACTGCCGCAGCACGATGGATAAAGGTGTCCTTCGTATAATACGAAAGTGCCCAGAATTATCAGTGGAAATGAGCAGGCCTAATAAATGTGTAAATGTGTAATTATCGCTAAGATCGATGAATGTAGAAAAAACTCTGTCAGCTTCGGCTATTGATTTGGCCAGTGAAGGCTTATCTCAAAGGTCTGTTAACTTATAAGGGCTTGCTATGAGTTAACTATGTCGACTATAACTATGACAATACTAGTCTATGTCCTGCTGTAACTTCCTATCTTACAGTATGTTTCATGCCTAATTTATATTATTCAAAATTAACACCAATATTGTCCTTCTCCCTGGCTCCCGCTGCATTTTAATCTCAAACCTGCAACTTTTTTATGATGTGACTAGGCCTGTACTTTAAACTTACATGTTTATTCCCCACTACCACTATAAAATCTACTCAGTCAGACATTAACCACAAGGCTAACTACGTAAGTATAACATTACAGTAATACTTGACTTAGAGTGTGAGTATTCAAGCCTACGTGATTATAGTATTCAAGTAGGCAAACTGATTTCTCAATCATATGATAAATTACCAAAAAACCATTAGCCTATTTTAATCGTACAGGCTGCATTTTTCTAACCTGTATGTTTCTTCCAGACTGTGCCATAGAAAAACTACCCTTGAGGAAACGCGATGGAGCCAGAGTAATTGACGGAAGCAAACACGCACATAAAATGACCTTTGATACTGATGAAACAGTTTACATCAAACGCCAGGAGGGGATAGAGCGACAACACAGGATGCGTTGTAAAAAGTAAGAATCATCTTTAACCATCTCATATAAGTTAGGCCTATAACATTGCTATAAGGCCTACTTTGTGTTTTCCCAAAGTTGTACTTCTTCTACTATTAAAAGGGATAACACTAAGATGCCTTTGTTCAAAGGTTATTATTAGGCTAACTTAATAATATTCTTCCGTTTGCTGGAAAGTAAAAGAATAATAATTAGTATCTTAGTATTATTTCCTTTGATTTATTAATGGTGGTCAAGCAAATGTCATTTAACCTATGAATCCAGGGCCTTTAAAAACGGATCAGTGAAACCAAATTACTAAACTTTGACTAACGACTAACAAAACTAGGTCTTAACTAAATTTAAAACATCATTTTCCTTTAAATATTTAAAATTAAGTACAATCGGACCTCGTTAGTGAGAACCTCGGTAAAACAAATTCCTCAGTAAGACAGATTTTTTAAATCCCCTTGAAACTTTCATAAAGGTCAATGCTAAAAACACATTTATACAACGTAGTAATTAGGTTAAAAACCTCCATAGAAGACAAATGGGCTAGGACTGATACATTCCTATACAACGAATCTTCTTAGCTCAATACCACTACAAGACGAATGTGATCTCTATAAGACAAATTTCTCATGAGCTTAACCTCCTTAGTAATTTACGTAGTTTTCAAAACAAACAGAAGCTTGTCTTAACATGAAACCCCCACCTATCCCTCTTCCTTCCTCAATTCATTGTTTGGCACTTTAGCCTGTGCAGTGGACAAGCGTCTAATAATATGGCGACGAATAATGGCAGTATTAAACCTCGATAAAACAAACACTCTTAATTAAGAACACCTTGATACTTACTACAAATTCTTCCCCTACCCCTTGAAATTCGTCCTCAACTGTAGCAATTTTCTTTTGTTACAGTAATTAGTTTAACTTAAAACAATAAAAGATGATAACACAGCTTTTAAGAATTGAAAAGTGTTCAAATCTAATAAATAACAACTAACTATTCTTACTCCTTCCGTTATTAACAGATGCAGATTACCTCTCTACTATAAGCACGACTTGAAAAGCAACGTCAACTTTATATTGAAAGGAGCTGTTGTTAAGAGTTCAGGCGAAGGACCAAAGATGGATATTTACAATCAAGTTGCGGTGGAGAAGCCTAAAAAGATTATGGTGACAAAACACACTAAAAACATGGGCAAGTTCAGCTCCGTTACTGTGTCTACAATTGATGAAGAGGAGGATGAAATTGAAGCTGTGAGTATTACATTATTTTGCTTACAGGAGACTCCCTCTTATCCGGGGACATCTTTTAACCGGACATCGGTTTATCTGGACTACACTCGGCGGAAATGATATCTCTTTAACCGGACAATTTTTATCAGCACATTGGTTTAACCGGACTAGATCGGCAGGAAGTGGGCAGTACTGAAACGACTGTTCTCGTGGGAAAGATTTGAGACCAGTGATCACATGTCTAAATACAATGCTCTCCTAAATTTAAGTTGAATATCACAGTAAACAGTCCGTTTTAACAAGTTTTTGGGGACGTCGGTTTAACCGGAAAACCCGTTATCCAGACTCCTCGGGACCAAAGCCAGTCCGGATAAGAGAGAGTCTACTGTATTACAATCAAAGCAATTTCTTTGGTTTTAAAATTTGAAACTAAAAAGGAATGATTTTATCAAATTTTCATATAGGAACAATGAGATATTTTGTACACTAAAATATTGATTTTAATAATACTGTCTCCCTCTTTAGTTTTGAGGTCCCTACTTCTGGAATGGAATATCTTGAACTTAAAGCGATTTACTCGATACACTTTATGTGGTAAAGTACGCTCCTGATTAACTGATTTTTGGGACCGAGACTACCTCTGTTACCAAGAATCTTAGATAACACAGAGGTCGAATAGATGTTGGAATTGGGTTAATGTACAACATTAGGAAGTCAAATAAAACTGGTAAAATTAACGATTTTGTTCTAAAAAAAACATAGCCCTCTAATGAAAATAATCACATCAATTTTTTATGAAAACCTTTTTTTTTATGAGGTAGGCCTAGTGTTACTAAAGAAAAACACAATACAAACTTGCTCAACAGTTCTTCAACAGTATAAAAAAATAACAGTATTATTATAGCTACACTAAACTAATAAAGAGGGTTCTTCCTAGTTTAAATAGCTTTAAATTATATTTTGTTTGAGTTTGACAAGCTATAACTTGGCACAGTCGAATCATGTAGACAGTAGCCTATATAAAAACATTGTAATGATACAGACTTTACATTTCTATTTTGCACATTCTGCAGACAACTCTTCCAGCTTACTACTGTCGATGCAAAAATTATGTAGACTCGAGTTTACGATATCACACCTCCGGAACCTTACCATTAATTTTTATCATTTACAAACTATATTTTTTGTTCATACGAACAATTAATAGTGCTTTGAACGGGAATTTTCGACCTAAGTTGACAAAGTTAACAAGGATTTACAAAATTTACAAGAACATGAATAATAATGATGTTAAAATTATGAAACTTAACGAAAATGTTTATAAATAGCCCTTATATATACCATTAAAATTTTAAGCTCATACGGTAAATAGTTTTTTGGTAATAATTGTCTAAAGTTGAGATTTCATCGACAATGGCGAAAAAACCCCTATTTTTTCCACTTTTTCGCTATATAAATTAGATAAAGTGATGTTAAATGTCAAAAATCGCTGGAATATAAAATTTGACAATATTTCCTTTAATTTGATAGGTCTCTCGTCAAAATCGAACAAGCCGTTCCGGAGGTGTGATATCGTAAACTCGAGTCTACATAATTTTCGCACTGACAGTAATGTTTGGTGGTCAATAATTGTTTTCCTAGTGAATATAAAAAATATAGGCCCTTAAGGAACTCGGGTAACCTGAGGTCTCGGGTTCACAAACAGTTTCTGGACATCAATTTTTTAAAGTTGAAAATGAGTTTAAAAAACCGACCTCGGATAACCTGAACGTACAACTGTTCACAGAGTTCTGGACATTAATGTTTTTTAAGGAACTAAAAAAACTAAAAGAATCACTTTTTTGTTTCACAGAGAGAGGTTGCTGACTCGTATGCCAACAATGCCCGCATCATAGAAAAACAACTGGAGAGGAAGGGGATGAACAAACGTAAAATGGTGGTACAACAAACACAAGCGGAATTGGAGGCCAAGAGGAACCGAGTCCGGGGCACTTTGATTGATAAATAAACTGCCTTAGTGACTGCATTTTACTGTGTATATTGTAAATATTTTATTTATAAGTGAAAAATAAATGGAAACACCTATTGATGAAAAAAGTTATTTACCAACTCATCCACTCCCTTCAAAGTTTACTGTCAATTATTAATTATCAATTATTTAAGATGGGCACTCCACTATGTGCGTATTTAAACTCAAATATGAGTGTAAGATGAGTAGCGTGATCCTGACGTGTAGAGTACTTATAATGGGTAATCACTTAATGATGATTTTGCACCTTTTCAGATTTTGTTTTGAAACTGTAGAGTTTTTAGCGAGTTTCCGATAATCCCTAGAAGCCAAAAACACCATCGGTTCAAATTCATATGTATATATCTATGCCAATATTTTTGCTTACAACATGCGTTATACACTTTGTTGTTTTGTTGCATTTTTATAACCGTGGATTTAATTGTAAGAACAAAATCTATGAATATGTTTTTCTTTTAAAATGGTTATATCTAGAAAGTTAATGTGTGAATGTTGTATTTCTTTTGAGAATTTAATATGTGTCAAGATTGAATATATGTGTTTGTGTAAAATGTTTGCTTCTGTTTGTGTTCCTTCAAAAAGGCAAAGAATATTGTCAACATAACGGTGCCAGTATATAATTTTTGATTTGTAAGGGTTGCTTTTGATCAAAATTTTGTTTTCTCTAAATTATTCATGTAAATGTCAGCTAGAAACTTCGGAAACTTTCAGATTGGTTGACATTTTTAATAAATTAGTGTTAGTTCCAACAGCCTTCAGTCAAAAATTCAGCTACAACCTGTTTTGCTCCATTTGATGTCATATTAAAGCAGCTATTATACCGTAATGTCTCAACGGGTCCTTAAAGTGTGTATGCTCAGGGTGGTTGCCCAATGCCCATGACCAGACTGCATAATGGTAAAGGTAGGTGCTGCAAAGGTAGTAGCTGCACTTTACCACCATTGCAGTACATACCCGGTGTTAATTCTTAAAATCAATTCAGACAAATGGAAATACGCTTAGTCGGCAGGTTTGCGGGGGTATTTCGTAAATAAAAGCACTTTTCATTTATCCATTCATTTATGACGCTTAGCTCGTTACGTAAATATAACTGTAAAATTAAATAACCACTTTATCTTGGTCGGACGGCCTCAATTGACTGAAGTATTCATGATTACTATTCCGATAGTTTCAGTTGACCTAATTGTTGATGTTCTTAGGCCCCGGCCACACGAGGTGGCTTAACCGCGCGAAGTTAAGGGGTTGAATCAAATGAGAGTGGCTACACGAGGCGAAGTTTAGCCGCATGTACGGTTGAGCCACGTCATGTCGTCCCTCGACCGCGCGAAGTTAAGCCGCGTTGGAGGGGATGACACGCGCAGTCTTAAGTGGCCACACGATAACGGTTCGCCCGCGCGGCAGCCGCGCTTATTGGAGATATTCTTCGGACATTTCTAGTGGTTTTTGAGTTTGTTTTAAGTGTTTTTTACCGGTTGCATGGTGTTAAAGCAATGTTTGATACAGACAAGCTTATAAAACTGGTCAAAGACAAGCCATGTTTGTGGGACAAGAAACTGAATGACTACTCAGACAGAAGGTGCCGGGAAAAGGCGTGGGTTGAAATCTCCGAAGTATTTTATGATTGATCTAATGTGCAAACTAACATAAGTGTTTCGTCCATGACTAAAAAGAGTGAACTGAACCACAGACAATATAATACTCTAAGGTTTACTCCATTGTCTGTGACCGAACTATGTTGTAATACAGTAACGATACTGGTAAAACCCAACCGGGAGCGGTTCATCCGCCCCGTGTGGCCAGGCACTTCGCGCGAAGATAAGCCGCGCGGCTTAAATTCGCCTTGGGTGGCCGGGGCCTTAAGACGGTGACACACTATCGATCTTTTCCCCGAACAAGACCCCGAACCGAGCAGGGAGAAGGGAGAAGGGAGGTCGAAGGGAGGATGTTCGATAGTGTGTCACGAGTCCGTACACCGATCAAGACGCCGAACAAGACATCAGGCCGAGCAGGGAGACGAGCGCTCTGGAGGCGGTTTTTTGGCGAAAGATCAAAGAAAAGATCGGTCCGATGTACGGTCCGATGTACGATAGTGTGTCACGGTACATTTTTGCCCCGTACATCGTCGCGAGCGCCGCACCGAGCGGCCGCCTGCGCTAGCATTGATAGTTCCGCGCTCTCACTCGCACACACTCTCTATCTCTCTCCAAACTTCCTTTTGCCGCGCTCGGTAGAATTCGTCTGGTCTTGGTCATGTTCGGGGAAATGTTCGGAGTAAAATTTTGCTGATATTTATCTCCCTTCTCCCTTCTCCCTGCTCGGTTCGGGGTCTTGATCGGGGAAAAGATCGATAGTGTGTCACCGCCTTTACGTTGTTTATTATAAGCCAATCATCGAACTCAGTTGAGAGAAACGACTTTCGGCTTTCCAAATATTGATTTGCTAATGATTGACTTAGAACGCAAACACAAACCTGTGTTCTTGAGATATTAGTACGGATCTCATTACACAAACTGTGGCGAGAACTTAACAAATGATTGGAACATATTTCAGCTTATAGCAAGGCTAGCTGTTATACTAGCTCATCGACAGAAGTGATAGCTTGTTTGAATTGTTTTTAACTGTAGATAGACGTTAAGAAAAGTTTAGATTTTGTTTAATTATTTATTACAAACACATCCAGTGTAGTATAGTGTTGTGGGTATAATACGGGTGACAGGCAGCGCTACCTGTTGTTGGCGCAGTTAACTACGTACTGCTTTACCGACAAACGACGATTCTTGACGCAACGTACAATAATCATTATACTATTCTACTGCCAACCTTCTACATTATACTATAATATAGTATAATGATTATTGTGCATTATTATTAGAAAATAGTGCTATTTGGATATATAGTATATTCCAAATAGCACTATTTTCTTCTGCAAAAATCATTACATGAATTATAAGTTAGAAAAATGTACAGCTGATATCCTCTATCCTGCTGATTATTTTTGAACTAGTGAGTAAAATGAACTTCGTTAGAGTTAGCCCTGAAATAAATTTATTGAAAACAGCCAGCTTATAAAGCACGAAAACTCTACAGTACTAGACTAGATATTCACATCCACACTTCGCATGGAGGTTTGCTGTGACTCGGTGTTTCTTGTTTGACAAAACAATCAGCTGATGTCACCAGTGCATCCATTGAACGTATGTTAAAAACTTATTCTTATTGTTGCAATAATAATATAGCAAAAAAGAAAGCCGCTGGTACATTCAAAAGGTGTTTTGCAGGATATTCACGCACTTTCTCAACTATCTGTGAGCTAAACATGATCAACTGTGAAAGAGCTTGATTTTAAAACGATATTCAAGTCAAAACACCAGCTGTCGATGTTATGACAATGACAAAGGTTGAACAAATAGGGTGAAAGTTAATGCAATAGTATTATGTTTGGTTGTCAGTGTACCCTTTAAATAATCAAAACATAAAACAAGATAAGAGTGTTTGTTGATTATCTGTAATTGGTCTGTGTATGCTTGTCAATCAATCCTTTTGCTATCGGTCACTGTCTGTTGTGGGATCACATGTTGTTTAGTTTGTACCATCGATGTATAATAACTCTACAGGGAGTTATTATACATCGATGGTTTGTACAGTATCTCTTACTCTTACGCATCAGATAAGGTTTTGTTAGTTTGGTAAATGAGAAACTTTGTTTGGTAATAAGTTCGTGGTTTCTTTTATGCCATACTTTTGCACATCTACATAGACCTCAGAGGCCTGTGCTTGAAACTACATACATTAGTGCAAGAATGACATGTACTGTGTTGATAAATTTCAAGCACCGGAACTGGGACGCAAAAGACAACAATGTCTTCTCCTTGGCAGTTAAAGAAAATCGAGGACCTCAAATTCCTAATGCCAAGAGACCATCCCCACTATTTACAGCATTAAATCTAAATAAATTTTCAAATTAACCGGCTCACACTCCGTGAGTTTTTGCCTAGACCACCCGTGCAGTAGTTGTATCACTCCATAGTCCGCACATGCTGCAGTATGACGTCACCACCATATAACTACACCGCGCTCTCTGTCAATCACATATCAAAGCTCCCGCTCTATTCACGGCTGGCGCCTCGCTAGTCGCTCTTCCTCAAAGCAGGAATGGAACACGTGTTACGACGACTATTTATAAGCCATTAGCTGCAACCAAATCCGGTAAAGCTGTGAGCATTGATCTGCCGTTTAAATTAGTCGTCATAATGCAGCAAAACTATGGTTACGTGCGTGGTGGAACTATAGTAGTTCTTTTGATCCGTAGGGTTGAAAGGGATAGGCTAAAATCTGGAGGTCAGGAAAACAAAATTTGTATCATTGGTTGACCAAATTCATCCGCTGATTTCATTGAAAAATAGTTCCGATTAATAAATACATTACTTTATCTGCATTATTTTTATATGTATACAACGCATGCAATTATTTCAATGTAATAAATGTCTAATGATAATTAGACTAGTGCCCACAATTTCAAAATATTTCTAGTAATATCCATATCGATCTTATATGGATTGGCCTCAGTTCTTGTGAGGTAGGATGTTTGTGCCACCCTATGCATTTTGCCAGTTTATGTGGCATAGACTAAAGAGTCCCTATAATATACTCTACTTACAATAATATTTACACACGATCGATCATTAGTATCACGGCCGGGTGTTCATTTTCGATTTTGATAAAACCTTATACAGACGTTCGATGGATTTGTGAGAAATTATTCATTTCGATCTAAGACGAGATCATACTGAATTCAGTGAATACACAACATGGTGTGTAGCCTATTTATGAGACTAAGACGAGTTAAAGAAGAGCGTTGAATGAAACATATGTTATCTCTATTGTTGACTTAACAGCTGTTTCTTTAGTAAGGACTATTGGTTAAAACCTTATAAAGGACAGCTGGGTCCATTTTTGAACCAAAAAGTTACTGACTTGTCTTATGATTGAACCGGTAACCTTTTGATTACCTAGCGAGCACTTTATCCACTCAGCTGCCTATGCATAACCTTGCTAA